CTCAAAAAAAAAAAAAAAAAAAAAAAAAAAAAAAAAAGGTTCACAGGAGAAGGGCCGCTTGTTGGTTCCCGGTTACTTAGCCCCGAAATAATCACACATAAATTGTATTCATGAAATCACTGTTAGGCCCATTAGCTGTAGCTTCTTATTAGCTAATTCCTACATATTAATTTAACCCATTTCTATTAATCTGTGTATCACCACGAGGCTGTGGCTTACTGGGTAAAATTCCAGCATCTGTCTCTGGCATCTCCATGGCTTCTCTCTGACTCTGTCCTTCTTTTCCCCAGCATACAACCTAGCTTTCCCTGCCTAGTTCTGTTCTTCCCTGACATAGGCTCAAAGCAGTTCTTTATTCATTAACCAATAAAAGCAACACATAGACAGAAGGACCTCCTACACCACAGGTTGGGCCAATTTGGAGAACACAGAGCAAGCCCATATAGCTGAAAAGGAGTATGCAAGGATGGAGGGACAGGAGGAGAGCCAGGAAAGGCAGCAGAGGCAAGAACAGACAGAAAGAAGAGCAGAAATGTGGAGGTTGTAAATGAGCAAGAATGCTAGAGGAAGCAGCTGATTCCAGTTATTACTTTATGTATCATCAACCACAGGACAATACTAAACTACACATGTCCACAAAAAGTCTAGCAAAGACGTATGGACTGGTATTGTTTTCCAGAGATTCCTAGGGGGTCAGTTTCCAGGAAGGATTCAAGCCTGTTGTATATTGAGGGACTTTTCTCATCAAGGACTGTAAGAAGACATTCTTAATTAACTGTATCTCTCATTTACTGATTGTGACTAATTCCATGATTTCTGTTAATCAGCAGTTGATTTAAATAATTTTCAAATTTCTCTGATAATAGTTGTTGTGTAGATTTTTAATTCCAAGCAAATTTTCAAAAGCAATATTGTCTAAGGTATATTATCAATGACTGGAGTCTGAACAATGAAAGTATAGATAAAGAGACAACCACAGTTCTTTGTGACCTCACACAAATCAGGCAACCAATCAAAATCCCAGTTCTGTCTGCATCCACACGGCTCCCAACAGTGAGCTCTGACTCCACTGGGTAAAGATGTTCTTATGAATATTATCTCTGTGTTCTACAAGTTCTGGTTGGCACTGGATTTAGAACTTCTGTGACACTGACTCTGTGTGAACCCCCCACCCCACGTCACTCACATGGTGTTTCTTATCTAACACCCATAAAAACTGTTCTAACAATGACAATGTAATGATGAATCCAGCCATCACAAAGCTGGACCCAGAAATAGTCATTAGTACTATATTTGCATATATTATATGGAGAGTAAGAGAGTTTTTATTTTAACAAGGTTTTATTTACCAACTAATTAGAATAGCAATTTATTACAAGTATCAAAATAACAAACTAAGAATTAATAGGGGCGTGGAGCTCTTCTGGCTATAAAGAGAAGACAAAAGCATTTCCTCTCGCTCCATGGGCCTCAGAACAGATCCGTGTGTCAGTCATTGCTATTAATTTCACATTTCACTTGCTCTTTGTTTTCCTAGACATATGAACTCTAGTGCTGCTGATTTTATAAAGGCTTTTAAAAGATAAATCTGCTATGTATCAGAAGCAGGTGTTTAAATAAGCATTCGATCCCAACAGCGTTGCTCTCAGTGCTTTCTGTAGCAGCAGCTGGGAGAGCCCTCTACTATCAAGCAGTCTTTCTGTCTGGTGCTTTCCTTGTACTCCTACCAAAGTAAGAGTGCTCTTGTAACACATGCTACCTGCACAGTTCTCTCTCTGTTTAATAAATGTGAGCCTTTGCCAAACAACAGCAACAACAAAATCTTGCTTCTCCAGTATTTGGAAGTGGGGGGGAGGGAGGATTCTTAATACAATTTCTGTCACTAATTGCTAGTCAGTGTTGTGTCAGTATTATTTATTTCAAATCTTAGTGAACTAAATAAGAAAATAAAGCTTAATTCCCAATATTAGATGAAGAAAAAGTGGAACACAACAAAGCCATTTAACTTCAAGATACAATGTTCAGGAAGAACAGTCACCTAACTATGCATTGGCACCTCAAGTATTTTCAAAGACAACTCAGCTATATTTTTGCATTAAAAATAAAAAATAAAATCTTCTGTCTTGAGATAAAAGGGCCACAAACCTCTAAAACTTAATCCCTGCTTCAGGCCAATGACATAAAAATATTTTTTACTTTTAGTTTGCATCCTGAAAAACAATTCTCTTGACAGAAAATGTTCTGAACTAGATTTTGAGAGGCAAATTTAAGTTTTTTTTTTTCAAATGACAAGGAGTGAAGAGAAGTAAATAAGAGAGAGGAGTAGAGATGTAAACGAAACAAACAAAAACATCAAAGTCCACCTAAAATAGATCAACTCCAAATGCTGAAAGCCTTTCTAGTATGTGCAGCAACTTCCAACTTCAAATTGATCCTACAACAGTTGAATGAAGAACACCTTATCCTGGTGAATCTTGACTAAAACTGTCTTGTCTATCTCTCATCATGCCCCTTAACTGCTACTGGCTTCTGGACTGCAAATAAACGATTTATTCATCACAGTGTGACAGAGTTATTTATGATTGATTGGTGCAAAATAGAAAGAGACTTTGTCCTCAGCCAAAGCTGACAACAGGGCTTGTCCAGTGTGTGCTGTCTGTCCATCTGCGGCATCCAGGGTGCCCATGTGCTAAGGGACTCAATAGACTGTTCACAGAGAGCTCCCACTGCACAGCGAGGAAATAACCCCAGCCTGCAGTGTTTCCTGTGTTCTAATGCATTGGAATACAATGACCTCAACCTTCTTCTATGCGTTTGAAATCTCATCATGGTTTTACAAGTTCAAGAAAAGGCAGGCAGGCAGGCAAATGCTCTTTTACAGAAGAAAACATACTGTGGACAAACAAGGTTAAGGTGGCCATGTCTGGCCGTACAGCTCTCAAAGCTTTCCCTTTCTCTGTACCTTGCTCCCTGTCCACAGTAAGGTCAGAGAGAGAAAGGAATCTTCACTAGAACCATGCCCATAGCCTATTTTATTGCTATTTTTCCTCTAGCCAAATGGCCCCATCAATCATCTGAATCAGGAGAATCTGAAGCAACCTATTCATTCCAAAACAGTCCCCAGTGGAGAGGCAAGACTTAGAAATCGTGTTCTGAACTATACATTCTAACACAGCCCCCAGTGGAGAGGTGAGATTTAAAAATTACTTCTTGAAGGACGTAGGGTAGCATTAAAGAAGCACGGTGGTGTGCCAGACTGCAGGTACAGTGTGTGGACTGTTTGGGTTAGTGGTACTTTGCTCATAACTAAATGCACAGCCAAGCTAATGAATTGACTTAATGAATACACACTCATGTACAAACTACCTTCCTCTGCAGCCACTGTCTTACTCCAGAGTAATCAAATTCAGTCCGAGACATATTTATACCCTGACAATTTCAGCTAATTTTCCTTCCAAGAGTTATCTGACTATAAATATGTAAAAAGAGAAGAGATCAACAACTGGAGAACTGAGTTCAGCTTTAACAGAGCAGCTGCCTGCTGCTGTTTCCTTTGCTTTGCAGAACCTGCTCCTCACACACAGCCCCAGGCAGCTCACATGGCCAGGGCCCTGCAATGCTCTCCACACAGCGCTCACAGCACCGTCCCTTTGATGACACGAACAGTGACTTTAATCTTGACTTACGTACTTTATTTCATTTTGAATAATGGAAACACCAAACCCTCAGTCCTCCTAGGTTCAGCCCACATCATTCTTGATTCTATCACATTCCACACGACAGAAGGACAGTCTGTAGAGGTACCATGGTGTGGGAAGGGTACAAAGAGAGCACTCTCTAGGCCGTTAGTGTTGCACTCTAAAGCCAAACATGAGCAAGAGTGACTGAGAGTGGAAAGGAGTGTCTGCAGGAATTGACACAGCACGTTAATGTTATATAATAGCTACGAGACCTAAGATCTGCATGCACAAACAGACCAGAATAAGACAGAATCAAGCCAGAACTGATTCCAATCAGTTGTATTTGTATTGTATATAAAATAAACTGCAATTCCCTGGCAGAACTGATGTCATCTAAACAGATGACAAGCACAGGGGTCGGCTCTCTCCTTCCACCACATAGGTCTCAGGGAGTGAACTCAGGTCACCGAGCTTGACAGGAAACAGTTTTAACAGTTTTGTGCGCTGTGCCATCATACTGGCCCCCAAAGGCAAGTGTTTTAAATTTGCTGCTTTTTCAAAACTAAGAGTATACAACACTTAGAAAGAAAAAAGAAAAAACACTGTGACAAGGTAGGACTTTCTTTCAAACTAAGACCTCAGCACTCTTACTTTTCTGAGCATGTGGCACTAAAACAACTTCAGCCGCAACTATAGAGGCGCGCGGCTCCAACAGTAATGCTCACCGCTTCCAGACACGAGAGAAAATATCCTCTCTAGGAGTCAAGGCAGATAACTGAGGAGAGTACACAATGCCGCTCATTCCGTCCTCCCCAGTGGAGAACTTGCTCCCAACCAACACTGTCATCAGGAGGAGAAGTGATAGGCAGCAGTCACCCCAGACGTCTGCAGTGGATTTAAAGCTCCGGAGACACACGGAGGAATGGAAAGCCCCAGATAATCACTGTCGAGAGACACTTTATAATTGAAAAAAATGGAAAAAAGATTAAAATCAAAGTAAGCACTTTTGCCTGGCAGAACTGGAATGAACAAAACTGAGTCAATAACCTGAACACTTATCTCCCTGTGTGTTCATAGGAGCTGGGGGTAAGCTACAAGAAAGAAGAACACATACTGGTCAGAAAAGACAGATTGGCATGAAGATCGTGGAATATAGTATCTTCTCCTTTCTCTTCCTTCAGAAAGCACACAAGGACCTCTTAAGTAACAAGATAAAACTTATTCTGTAGATATACATAAACCATCTCTTGATGTCAGCATGTGGACTATTCTGAACCTTTTGTTTACATGGGGATCTGCTACGCAGGTGCCACTCGGGGTTGACTCTAAGATGCCATGGTCAAGTGTAGGGTGGCACATCAACTCCGAGAAGTCACTTGTCCTGAAGACCCTTCTGTGCCAATGTCTGGAAGACAAGCATGCAGTGCATAGTCATAAGGGAAAGCGAATTCTTATGTGCGATGATCAAGCCCAGGGCCTTGCCCACGCTAGGTAAGGGTGCAACAATCCAGCTACATCCAGTCCAAACTCATTTCTTAAAGGAAACTCATGAAATTTACTTAAATTTAACACAGCAATAATTCTTAGGATTTCTGACCCAGGTTTTCCAAAGTTCTTATCGAAAATATGAATCAAATTATAATTGTAACAGTTTGCAGAAAATAAATATAATGCAAAGGGCAGTGCATAAAATTAAAATTGTATTTAGCATTCCCTATGCATGTCTGTATTTAGATACATTATAGCAAATACTGTGCTCATTTGTAAGTTAGTTAGACAGTGCTTGCACACAACCTGAAAATGTCTAAAAGGTCTGCGATCATGGGAGTCTATGGTATAAAGGGCAGGGTTAGATGTCGTAAGGGCTAGGCAGATTCCAACACAGCTGTCCTCTAGCAGGACTGTCTCTGTCAAAGGAGGTCTGAATGTGTTAGCCCTCAACGAGAAGTTGTCCTGCTCTCTGGCGACAAGCTTATGGAGCTGGCTGTCCAGGAGCTCAGAACACCTCATGGTTTACACCCCAACTTGTCTTTCACTTGCTTGCTCTGGGGTTCCCGGGAATGCATGTCAGCAAGTCCCGCTTCACAGCAGATGAGACACGGCTGGAGAGCGGGAGAACCAGCAGGGTGGACTTACCGACTCCAGAAACTCTATTTCTGTCTGCAGTGCTTTGCACTTGCTTTCCATCTCATCTTCGCTGTAGAGATCCAGCTCCTGTTTCAGTCTGTTTGGAAGGAGAATCGCTCTCTTAGTTTGATACTACACCTTTACAATAATCTTATTACATACAGAGTGGCAGGTGTGTAGCCTCAGAAATATCTCAGAGTATCAGAGTCAGGTTAAAAACAGGAATATTTAGGAAATTTAACCCTCTCAGATTCTATACAAACGATGTAAAAATTGTAGAGAAAACCTCCCATAAAGAAAGGTAGACAATAAAGCAGAGATGAATCTCAGCAATGTAGAAAGTCAGCGTGGGTTAATGACAAGTGTAGAACCAGCTCTCTACCGAGACGCTGAATGCACAGAGTCATTTGACTTCTCTGATCTTGACTCAAAACTTAAGTTAAAACATTACTTGTGCCAGCTGCTTTTACTTAAAATTAAAGATAACATACAATACTTATATAATTAAATTTATCAGACTGAGAATTAAATATCAGTGTTTATTTTACCAACCGTGTTTTTAAATCTTGGAATAATTTATTAAATAAAAAGGTAACTTTTTGTCTGAATTCAGTGTGGAATGTAGGGAAGAAGTTCTCTTTCATCTCAAGTATAATGGCTAATATTTTTATCCCCTCCCCAACAAAGAAAAACATCACCAAAGCCCTGAGCTGTGAGAGGTAGGACTCCAGAGCCTGACCATGGCTGGCTCTGTGTGAAGCAGCCCTGAGGGCAAACACTACAAGCAAGGATGTTCTCATAAAGCTAAGCAACTCGGCAGCAAGAGGACACCCTCAAAGAGAAGGGACTTAGATCAGAGCCACAGAAACTCTCTTTGAGGGATGCCTTAACATATTTAGACCCATTGACCTTTGCCAGATGGAGATTACATAACAAGCTTGCAGTAAAAAAAAAAAAAATCACCAAGCATACTAGTAAGATAATCCAGTATAAGTCACCAGAGACAAGAAGCCAATAATACCCACAAGCTTGAAAGAACTACACATTTACAAGGAAAACACATACAAAATAAGCATAAAAAACCCTCTGACTCTAACAAGCTATTTATAAAAGCTATCCAGTGTGTAATAAAGATACGGAATAGTGCCAACCGTGTCAAAGAGTAGGGATACACCAAGGAAAACACAAGGGGCAGCCAGGAAAGAAGGCTATAGGCCATGGCACACAGGCGAGCAGAGGCAGAAAGAGCTCAGTGTGCCAGGCCATCAGAGCTACACAGTAAGTAAGATCAATAAGGAGAAGGAAAGAGAGGAGGAGAGGAGATGTGGGAAAGAAACTGGAACTTCAGTGCCCTAGTATAGAATAGTTCATTCCTGTGTGTGTGTGTGTGTGTGTGTGTGTGTGTGTGTGTGTGTGTGAGTGTGATTTTAACCCATATCTTTATACTTAAGGTTTTTATATGTTTGGGGTAGGAAACATATATATCCATATTACTTTTATATGAAAATCTCTTATTTTTTAGCTCACATGTTACCACTATTTACATTGAATGTGGTTGCTTATATGGTGGGATTCAAAATGCAGATTTTTTTCTGTAGGTTCCTCATTCCTTCCCCTTCCTTTCAGTCTATAATGGAGTTACTTATTATCTCCTATATAGACATTTTCTTATTAGACCTACTTTAAAAAATTAATACAGCTTACACTTATATTTATAACATATATTCAACACTGTATAATACATACAATACAACTGTACTTACAGGGAAAAATGTTACAGCAATATGTTTTCAATTTTCCCCTCAAATTTTTATTCTATTATCATCACAATTTCCCATTTATTATAAATCTAAAATATAGTGCTAATATTTTTCTTTGCCATTTATTTTGTGAAGTGACTTACAACCACAGGGAGCTTTTGTATTTACCTTTGCCCAACTGTTTCTGGAGTAACTCTACTTCCCATTTGGAATCACACCCTTCCTCCTGAAATATGTGTATCATCTTGGTTTTCAGTGTGGTTTTCAATAGCAAGGGTCCAATCAGCTCATGTTCACCTAAAACTATACTTATACTTTAAGTGTGAGATGTCGTTACTGTCTTCTGGTTACATCATTTCAGATAAGAGGTTTCATTCCTTTCTTCTCTCCTTTTAGCTAATGTGCCTTTCTGTCTTCCCTTCCTCTGCTTTCCTACATGTTTTCTCTTTATCTCTGTGTCTCAGAGGTTTAAGTATCTGTAGAGAAATTGAATATTTTGGTGTTGTCTGAGCTTTTTGTATTATGTTTTAAAGTATTTTTGTTTTTTTTTTTTTTTGGAAATGTTCTGCTATGACTCACATATGCCACTCTATAGGTGGATCTCAAGTATGCCAGGTTTAATTGTTGAGATGGACTCCAAAGGCTGTGTGGTGTATCACCTGTTTACACAATGTGTGGGAAACAATAACTGGGGTCAGTCAGAGGGTCATCAGTTTGACCAATAAATTTTCTTAAGCCCCCTTCCCACCTTTTCTTTCATCAGGAGCTTCCTCAGAGCACGGCCCAGATCCAGGACCCACCAGAGTCCAGGCCCTTCCAAGAACTCCTTCCGAGTTTCTTAGCAAATGCCTGCTATCTCGCGCCGAGACTCTAAACCCTCAACTTGGCAATCCAAGTCCTGAAAATCCTTATGATTTCTCAGCTCTGTTATGCACACTAAGCGTTGAAACCCTGCTGATAGGCATCCAGGTGCTGAGCCTTTCTGAGCTCTTTGAATCCCAGTTTTCACCAGGAAGTCCTCAGGATTTCAAGGCAGATCAGAATTCCCAATTAACCAGAGGGCTGTGCGATGTCTCGTTTTGCCCTGAATGGGGGGGTGCTTAGATTTTGCCAAATTCTCCATATTCCCAGATTAGGATCTCAAATAAATAGACGGGTTTTTTTTTGTTTGTTTTTTTGTTTTTCAAGACAGGGTTTCTCTGTGGTTTTGGAGCCTGTCCTGGAACTAGCTCTTGTAGACCAGGCTGGTCTCGAACTCACAGAGATCCGCCTGCCTCTGCCTCCCAAGTGCTGGGATTAAAGGCGTGCACCATCACCGCCCGGTTTATAAATAGACTTTATTATCATCAATAATGATGAAGATGACTTTTTCTCAAATAGGAAGTCATAAAAATGTTAATAATTCTGAGTTAAACCCACTAAATGTGAACACAATAAAAACAAACATGTTTTATCCCTCATAGTATAATGCAGATTGATCTTTAGGTTCATTTAAAAAAACATATAAAAATTCAAAAACCTCTTAAATTTAGAAAAACAAATGCCAACTGATAAATCCTACTGCTAACCTCTGACAAGTCAACAGTGCATCACTGCTCACCAGTGGAGCAGGGACACAGACAGGCAGGAACTAAAGCAAACCGACAGCCAGTGCGTGGAAGGGCAGCACCTCAGTTCCCTGGGGGAAGAAGACGGCTTTTCGACAAATCATGTTGTTACAGTGGGACAACAACCTGCAAATGGATGCAAAACTAAATGGATCTCAAAGGCAAAACTGGATCTATATTTTACAGCATAGCCACTCTAGATAGATCAAATATTTATATGTTAAAAAGCATACAAGACAAGGCAAAAGCACAGGTAAACTGCTGCATCTGATAGGTGTGGGTAGAGCTTTAACTACAGTTCAAATACAAATGTGATTTAATTTAAAAGAAAAAAAATTACACTGTTAAAAGTTTTCTATAGACCACATGTATAAAAACTAACAGAAAATGATAGTCTAGAAGAAGTATCAACTATAGACATCACAAATAAAGGCCGGAAAAACACATTTTCCAAAGAAGGTAACATCAGCACTCACAGAAATGGGGTGGCGCTAAAGAGGCAGTTCATAGAATGACAACAGATGGTTCTCAGAGGTACAGAGTGTTCTACTGCACTGGTGACAGAACTTGCAGATGTTTGACCTGGCCCTCTTCTATAGGATGGAGCTTCACTACTTGACTGCAAATACTTTTCGGGAGGCAAAGAAGAAATAAATGTGCTTAACTTTTAGCTGAGATATATTCAAAACATTGCAACCTCAATTGGGGAGAATGAAACACAACTAATTTGTCTATTTCCTTGAGCCCTGCCTTTTTACACTAGTAATATAAAGTACAAGACAACATAAACACAAACATGATATGTAAATCAAACTATTAAAAAACAATCTTTCTGTCCATTCATATGGAATTGGTTAAAGAAACCATAACATATTCATGACAATTATTATTCAACCATAAGAATGAAGACCATTTCTTTCAACAAATGAGTTGATTCTAGCATGCACTATTAAATAATAAGCAGTACAATGCAAAAGATTACATAAACTGTGTTGCGTTTATCTATTTAATTCTTCAAAAGAAACACAGAAAGATAAGCTAGAAGCTAATGAAAATGGTTAAGCGCTTCAGTGAGCAAGTATCCAAGAAATGGATGGAAAGATGAGAATAAAGGAGAGATACCCCTCTATCTGTCTCTCTTCACATTAACTTTCCAATCATTCTGATGCTTTCAATCCATCTGGTAAAGTTCAACCAACACAGCTAAGGGGGTGAGCCGTTAGTGCTTGACATAAAATAACACTTGAATTAGAGGCTGGGGATGTGATTTGGTAGTAGAACACTTGCTTGGTACAAGCAGGACCCTTGTTTCTATCCTAAGCAATCCTGGGAACATAAGCAAGACCCAAAACAGATTAATAAAGCAAAGAAACTAATTCAAGACATGACAAGAAGTTCAGGAGAGACAAAGATTCTGAAGAAAAAATATGGAAGGGAAAACCTCAATAAATCAAACAAAAAATTCAAAGGTGTATACCTTTAATCCCATCCCTTGAGAGCAGAGGCAGGTGGATTTCCAGGCATTTGAGGTCAGTCTACTCTTCATATGAGTTCCAGGACAGCCAGACCTACATGCTGAGTGCAGGCTGTTCTCACGACAGATGATCCTGGGCTGTACAAGGAGGCTAGCTGAGCATGAGCCTTGAGGAAGCCAGCACACAGTGCTCCTCCATGGTTTCTGTTTCAAGTTCCTGCCCTGACTTCTATCAGTGATAAAATGGGACCCAGAA